CCCCAAAACCCCAAAACCCCAAAACCCCAAAACCCCAATTTACCAAGAAATATAAAATATTTTATAGGCGGAGTAATCATGTATAGTTATTCGGAAGAGAAAACTGGGGGTGGTGGCATGAAGAGGTAAGTTTAGAGGGGAAATGAGGGAAGGGGGTTGGGAAGGAGATTGGCTGAATGGCGTATAGAAGAAGAGTCTCGCATTGTGCTGTGTATGGGGTAACGCAGACGAGGTTGAGTTCGAAGAATAGTTCTTTGTTGGACAGATTTAAGAGGAATTTCAGGAATGAGAGTGAGTATGATACAAGAGCAGGGTCTACAAGTACACATCAAGTTTTAAGTCAGGTAAATTTCACAATTTAAGTTATGCTAAATTTTGAATAGGCTACTAAAAAGCAGTTTGAGCCAGTTCTTGCAAAGAAAATTGAAAAGTGAGATTTTCAATAATCTTCAGGTTAAAGTTTGGTAGAAGATCACGGAAAGCAAGACATAGACTAGATACAAGATTTAATATTAAAAATGTAAGATTCTTCTCAACCCTAGACTATTTCTGAATCAAGTTACATAAGCAACAATCCAGAAGAAATAGAACTAAGTAACATTGAGATCTTACTCACCCCATATAGCTTACACAACACAAGCTAAAAATCCCTCCAAAACCCCTTTTATAAACAAATCTAGAGGTAACCGAACAAGGTAAAAAATTCTTTTAACATAAAGGACAACATTGCTGCTTTCCCGTTCAAATACCCAAAATACAAGCTGGTTTGATATCTTCAGACAAAAAGACCATAAAGTTCACAAAGTTAACAAATCAGTCGCCGATGTTAGATACAAAGGCAATGCTAACGACATTGGACACCTTCTGAAGGATCGATTACACACAAGAAAGTTAGCACAGTTCGAGATAAACCTGAGAGATGATAGCGAGGAGCCTGGTCATGAAGAGTTACAAAAACTAGTTACTGGATATAGCAGAATTAAGAAGAATCGTGTGAAGCATTTGCAGAAGTTCAAGGATGTTAAATTTCTTAAAAATTCTTACGATTATGATAGCTATCTACCACCAGACAAACAGAGTATCAGTAAGTGTTACTCATTTAAAAATTTTAGTCAAGAAAAGTCCAATTTTCATCAAAGTGAAGGAAACTTTGAAAGAATCGGGACGTTATAAACCCAAGTTTTGAGATACAAATCTGAACAACTTTCGTCACCTGGTAACTGGATTTCAAAACACAAATACTTTGAAATGGGAGACCACCCTCAGGGAATAATTTCAATGATAAAAGATCCCTAAGGGGTTTTGGGGTTTTGGGGTTTTGGGGTTTTGGGGTTTTGGGGTTTTGGGG